CCCCCGAAAGAAAGAGATAAAGAGAAACAAAGAAGACCAGAGGAGATCCCCTCCTCCGGAGCGACCTTCAGGAGCCGCTCCTCGCACACGTGTAGCTCCTAGGTTAGGTTAGGTTGCATTTCCGCAGCCAGCAAGTCATCCCTTCGCGTCAAACGCGAGCGAGAGGAGCGAAGAGAGTGTGGAGGAGGTCGCAGTGGTGGAGCTGGATCAGAAGAGTCACTGCGTCGAAAGGGGAAACTTACGTGTGACAAATTCAACGCGTTCCTTTCGCTCGTTCCCTGCACACACGTCGCTGACACCTATGGCCCTGGGCCACGAGGGCTATTATTATTTTCATTCCTTCCCACATGTCTCTCTCTCTCTCTCTCTCTCTCTCTCTCTCTCTCTCTCTCTCTCTCTCTCCCTCTCTCCCTCTCGCCCTCTCACCGTCTGCCCATCTGCCTGTCTGTCTGACTGTCTAACTATCTGACTATCCGAGTGTCCGTCCGTCTCTCCGTCTCTCCGTCTCTCCGTCTCTCCGTCTCTCCGTCACTCTGTCTGACTGCCGTTTCTCGTTGACACGACTCCACACGTGCGTCCGTGTGTTGATAGCTTTGCGCAATACGTATGCACGCAGCTACATGAGCTACACTGCGCACCTACTCACCACGTACGCCTCTTACGTTTCTGGCCTCTTATTTTACTTTTTGTACGTAACTCCGAATTTACTGCCTCCGCAGCGCCTGCGCGTCCTGCGTTCCTTTGCGAAATCCAAAGAACTCGAAATTTGAAAATTTCGAGATTCGAATACTCCAAGGATCCATACGAACGCAGAAGGAGCGGATTGTCGAATGATCGTGAGAGTAGCTCACGAAATGTGAAATAATCCGAACGAGTGAGAGAGCAGCCGGATTGAAAGAAGAGGAGGAAACGAACGGAATGGAAGGATAAAAAGTAATAGAAAGCAATTTGTCAGGAAGCTTTTACATTTCGACGCGCGATGGGCTTTTCGCATCTGATATAGCAGGGCCGTCTCTTATCCCGTGGGACCTGCACGACTTCTCTTCCCTTTTTTCTTTTTTTTTACTGTCCTGTCAGTCCGACCCCGCAACCTTTACGAACCGCGAAAAGTCCCTCTGACCAAGCGTATCGACACTCGGCGCGGCGGGGCTTGGATTGCGTGAAACAGCGAAAGGCGGGAAAGGGAGAAGAGAGGTCGATTCGCTTATAAGCCGAGTAGATAGAAATCTTGGAAAATGGGCTGGCGAAGACAAATATTATGGGGATCAGCGGAGAGTGAGCGGCGATTTATTTGACAGGATTCCCAGGACAGCGGCGCCGAGCGGCGCGGGAGAGAATCGAGGAGGCTGCCGCCGGGAATGAATATAGTATGGTCATTTACCGGAAGAGCTGTGGAAGAGCTGTGGAAGAGCTGTCCTCGCCGCCGAAACTCCCCGACCACAGCAGCAACTCGAAACTTCCAATTGAAGCGCGAAGGAAAGAAAATAAAGAAGGCAGATGAATAAATCGCATACAATCCCGGCGCCGCGCGTTAATTGAAAACTACCGAAAAGCACAATTTCGCGGCGAGTTATCTCTATTCATTAGCTGGTGGCCGTTCGAGGGTCGCTCCTACCGACACTAGCCCCCCCCCCCCCC